TTAGGGTTTAGGGTTTAGGGCCGCCTGAGGTTAATCATGACCTTCCTGATTGTGGGGATGGTGGGGATCGCCCACTGGCGAGTTAACCCGACGTGCAAATCGGACATCAAGTACATGGTGCAGTGGCCACACGGCTGGATCAGAAAGGTCCTTCGATTTGACCCGTCCAACTCAAAGAACTGTTCATAAATCGAGCATGTTAAGTGTAGCCATTCGGAAGAAAGTCTTGCTCTCGGTCTGGCCTCTGTAAAGAACACCATCATCCGGTATTTATTTTCCTTTCTTAGTCGTTTATCTCCATCATGATCCAAGCACTGGATGACCGCGTGAGTATTTATGTTTCGGTTGCTGAACCTTGTACAGTTAATCTGAAATATCCAAAATATGTCCGCATGCATTGAGCTATTGGAGTTCTGTGGACAATGTGCAGAAGAACTACAAAACAGCATGTGCGAGTATAGCAGCCGTCCAGTCGGAGGTTAACTGTTCCAGAATCTAGGGGTTGCGAGTTTGTAAAACTGTGGAAAATCTTGGATTGTGGAACCTTGGCGTTGCAGAGTTGTGGGTTTCTGGCCTGGTGGATTGGAGTCGCGCAGTGAAGTGTGCAACTGGAGGACGTGTGGATGTCTGAGGAGTTCGGGAATATTGGAAGGAATTGCGGAATGGTGGAGATATGGAATGGTGTAAATGTGCTTACTGCTGGGAGTGGGGAAGCCTTTAAAATGAGTGGTGTTCAGTCTAGGTAGTCATCTTGCAATGGCAGTTATCGGGGTTTAGTATCGAGGCTCCCCGCCTAAACAGCTCTAGGTACCCCTAGACCCTCCTACGGTACTACTACTACTACTATCACTACTACCACTACTACTACTACTACTACTACTACTACTACTAGTACTAGTACTAGTACTAGTACTACGAGTACTGTACTACTAGTACTACTACTACGACGACGACGACTACTACTACTACTACTTGTACTACTACTACTACTACTACTACTACTACTACTACTGTACTGTTACTGTACTACCATATTGCTGCTGTGCTACTATTGCGTTAAGTGCTCCTGCACTACTACTGTACCCTACCGCTATTGTACTACTGCTGTACCGCTACTGTACTATACGACGTACAACCCCCCACACCCTCCTTGTGAGCCTATTTCCCTCTGCAGTGCCGGGACACGCCAACCCCACACCCATCTGAAGAGCTTGTCCTCCCCAAGAGCCTCTCTTCCTCTAGAGTCCCGAGACGCACCGATTGTACATGGTTTCCTCATCTTCGCAGCATGCACAGTCGTACGTCTACCCAGACACACATGTATTACACAGATTTTTCCCGGCAGAGCGCGGGGTTCGACCATGACAGCGGTTCTTCTTGAACAATTGAGCCAAGGCTTAGGATAGAGTGTGGGCTCCAGGAGGGTCATGCATATGTGTGTATGTACATATATATATATATATACATTTATATATATATATATATATAATGTTATATTATATTACATATATACATGTGTGTGTAAACGCGCACGTGTTTAGATGAGTGTGAATCAACACAATGAGTACATTGTGCGTATGCGTACGTTTGCATATAATATATACATATATATATATATATGTATGTATGTATGTATGTAAACATTTATTTTAACCATATGTGCATATACGGTTATCATATATGTATAAATGCCTGCCAATATATCTCTGCATATCCACGTATCTCTCTATCTACATATGTCTATATGTATATGTATATTCCACAACGAGACATTTCTGTATCTCCATATCTCGATACATCCATATCTCTGTATCTTGTTGCACATACGTGTATACATATATATATATAGAGAGAGAGAGAGACAGAGACTCTTGAGAGATGGAAACCATGAGAGGGCCTCCAACCTCCTCTTCTGCATACATAGTATATATATACATACATACATACATACATACATACATACATACATACATACATACATATGTTTTTCTTTCTTCGTATTTTTACATTATATGTTTATGTGTATTTTTGTCATGTATATGTATGTGTATATATATATATACATATGCATGTGTATACACCTGCTTATTTAGGTACTTGTTCATCTTACATATTTGTATTTGTTGGTTTATGCATGTATTTATACGTGTGCATGCATGTATATATATATATATATATTTATATTTATATATGTATATTTAGATTTATATTTATACTTGTTTAGTTGTTCATATATTTGTTTATTCATATACATATGTATGTAATGTATGTATACACATACATCGTACTTACACTCACATCTTTCTCTATGTCTGCATGTACGTACACATTGCTTGTCGTTTATGCATGTAGAGATACCGGTAATGTCGATATCTGTGTGAGTACGTGCGTGGATGAATCACGAAGTCAGTCACCTGTCATTCATTATGTCCGTTTGTCTGTCTTTCTGCCATCCAGTCACTCCGTGATCCGTTTGCTCATGTAGACGCGTTCGCACGCGCTAGTGTGTGTCAGCGTGCGTGCGTGTGTATGTGTGTGCGCATGCGCATCTGTCTGTCTGGGTCGGTCTGTTTGTCTGTCTGTTTGTTGTTTGTTCGTCAGTTGGTTGGTTGGGTGCGTGTTTCTTCGCTCGTTTGTTTGTGCAGTTTGTCTGTGTGTTTTTCTTGTTCGCTTTCACTGTTTGTTGGTTTATTTGCCTTGTTGGTTGGTTGCTTGGTTAGTTGCTGGTTAGTTGCGCGGTTGGTTGGTTGGTTGCTTGGTTGCTTGGTTGCTTGGTTGCTTGGTTGGTTGTTTGGTCGGTTGGTTGGTTGGTCGGTGGGTTGGTTAGCTGTTTAGTTGGTTGGTTGGTTGGTTGGTTGGTCGGTTGGTTGTGTTTTTGCTTGTTTGGTTGTTTGTTTGTTCGTTCGTTCGCTGGCTTGCTTGCTTGCTTGCTTGCTTGCTTGCTTGCTTGCTTGCTTGCTTGCTTGCTTGCTTGCTTGCTTGAGTGTTGTTTTGTTTGTTTGGTTGTTCGTGTGTGTTTCTTTGCTCGTTCATGGTTTCTTGAGTGCATGGGTTTGCATGTGATTTTAGTTTTGCCAGCACTCGAGGCGGAAAAATGGCTGCTCGTAACAGCAAGATTAGCTGCTTGCTTGTAGCAGTGTTGCCGAAACCATTGTGCGGTCGTTTGTTTGCTTGCTTGCCTGTCTGTCGGCATGCTTCTCTGCGTGTCTGCTTGTTTGCTTCAAAGCTGCCTCGACGAGCCGGTTTAGAACCACAGTAACTTCAGCTGCACCGGGATAGCAAAAACAGCCTCCCAGGCTCCAGCAAGGCTTTGCTTGGACGAACAAGGCCGACGAGGAGAGCAGCATCATGTTTCGGTAGAGGGCGCGCGGTCACATGACTAAGTTTACTGCGAAAAGCCACGCGAAGAAGTGTGGCGTCATCATCACCGTGAACCTCACAATCAAGTAGTTGCTGTGAGTGCATTTCACCGTTTGGTTTGTTCCAGCGAATGGATATGTTGGCAATTCCGTTATTCACGTCACGACCGCTTGTCCTCCGAACCATAGCTTCTACGTGACTGCGCCCCCTCAGACCGGAGGTGCGACCTGGGAAAGTTATGTCATTAGGGGATGCTACGTGTGCACCAGGACAAACAAGGACTTAGGACTCTCAGTTAGGGTCTACATGGGTCCACGGACTTGTGTGTGTGTTTGTACAAATGCTGCACGACCGGAGGTCCTGCCCGCATGCTGTGAAGAGCGACCCAAGAGAGAGAGAGAGAGAGAGAGAGAGAGAGCGCTCTTGGCAGCTGTGTCGATACCATTATAAATCAACACGATTGGCCTGCCTGTTGTACAAGAATGAAAGCCTCTTGCCGACTGCACAGAATCGCCAGGACAATTCGCGGAATGCTCGTGTGAGTGAGGCAATGCGAGAGGCCGATCGGCTGCACCATCTCCTGGCTCATTTCAGGTGATACAGCTTGCACCGCATTCGTCAAAGCTTCTTAGTACCATGCGGCTGTGTCCGAGGTGCGACAGAAGAACTACGTGCTGGCGGCGAGACTGTTTGTTCACATCGGAATGCTGAACATGCTCTTCATGTTGTTCGACCTGCTGTCAAACCCCAGCTTCATCGCCTGGGCCCGCATGGGATTCCTGCTGATCGTGGCGTGTCTGAAGTATCCACTGACATCTGTACATTATTTTGAAGTAGATGTCGACCCTCTTTTGTGCAGTTGCTGTCAGTATGAACAGAATCAGTCCAAAGTGGGCGCGGAGTAGTCTGTGCCCCAACAGGTTAGATTCAGCGGCGTCCGGGCTGCCTCTAATAGCATTGTCACTGTAAAGCCATCGAACCGAGGTCTACTCCATGCACTGGTCAGTTGCCACTGGCGCCCTTCGCCCGATGCCCAATCAGATCAAAGGGGTGTGCGCTGGCTGGTGGACGCTGCTGCTTGCCCTTTGAACACTGTAAGTAAACACTCGGAAAACATCGGGCGTCTCGGACCAGATTTTCCTCCTGTTTGGCGGCAGGGTTTGTTTCTGATTGGAGCACTGTGCTGAAATAAGGTTTGCGGCATTCGTGCTGCTTGCTCCTTGCCACCCTACAGCCAGAGATGCAATGTTCATGCAAGGCCGGGCCTCCGTGTGCCAGATTCCGCCAGATTGCCAGATGTGCAGAGAACCCTGTAGTGTGGAGCGAGAGGCTTTAAGATTGGCAGCCGATTGACGATGACCTCCATATTCATTGACACCGAGTGGCTTGTCTTGCCAGTAGCCAGTGTACTGCATCAAGTTGGCTTCATAGTTGAAGTGACTGAAGCGACCCCGCTACACTGTCAGTGTCTGCACTAAGTCCCCCACATGTTGCGCACGGACACGAGAAGAGTCATGATCACCGCATCATCATCATCATCATCAAAGCCACTCCTGCATCATAATCACAAGCAGCAAAGCCCTCATCAACCACCATGGCATCACGACCTAGCAAGCTGGCTCTTAGATTCTTAGACTAAAACCCTAAACCCTAAAGCCCCAAAACCCTGAGACGACTAGACTATCCCGCATTGCCGAGGCTTTGTTTCATCTTCCAGGCTGTGCCGCCTGGCTGTATCCCGGTACTTTCCCGGGGTGGTTCTCGAGGCTAGAGTGGTTTGTGCAGTTCATTCTGCTGTTAATAGTCGCGCTTTATGGTACTCGGACATTCGTAGTGTAGTAGAATTGATGTAGTACTACTGTATCATGTGTTTATAGTGGAATTGCAGTCTTAGCATAGTGAAATTTACAGTCTTGCCGTTGACCCTATCTTTGGTGTTGTGACATGAATGACATTGGTCACCAACTTGGCTGCATGTTGAGGATCTCTGCGGCTTCTCTGGTTTCGGAGCTGTTCATTCACAACACTGGTCAAGAACCCTTCCTGCTGTTGGGCATGGAGTTTCAGAATTTCGTGACTCTGATCAAATTGGCTTCGGATAGCTTTGCACGATGCCTGCTCGGATCTGTTGACCACGTTATGTTCTGCCCGTGTTGTGTTTCAAGACCTTCTTTTGCCGACAGCTGGACGGCTAAGGCCGGGTCCGTGGCGCTGTCTGCGTTGCTGGAGTTTCTCATCCGTTCCCGTATCCACGCACTACTGGACTTTGCAGATGCCGAGACTCTGGTTTCCAGCTTCCAGCACGTCCTTCGCGGGATCTGCGATGGAGATATCCTCCTCACCAGCGATATGACGACACTTTTCAAAAAAGCGGCCACAGTGTTCTTTCTGACTTTGGCTGGGTATTTGTCACTCAGGCTTTTGGTTAAGCATGCGCAGCATCACGGACCGCAGGTCACCTTTGATTGTGGATGGGTTGTTACGGTTGGACATATATATATATATACATATATGTAAACATATAAATAAATAAATAAAAATAAATAAGTAAATAAATAAATAAATATATATATATATATATATCATATACTCGCCCAAGGGAAGGAGCAAATACTCGAGCACTTGATTCGCAACTGCTCACTCTGCGTTACTGGTCTAGCATTCTGCTACCTCAGCCGCTGGCTGCATCAAGGATTCACGGCCCTGGCGACTGCCTGCAGAACCTGCTCATGAACAGAGCCTTGTCCAACCACATGAATTGTGTGCAGTGTGGCTTGATTCGGCTGAGTTGTTTCCGCCCTTTCTGCTGGGATAACAACGGCACGTGCCCAAAGAGGCTGAAAGCAAGATATGCATATATTGATCATACTAACAACAACGAAAGTAATCGAAATAGCAACAGTTGGACTAACAACGACAAAGCACACACACACACATATGTATATGTAGAAAGTATGTGCGAATAGGACAAGAATAGTACATGCAACCTGGCGGGACAACTTCAAGCGAATTCGCTCTTGGGCAAATCTGACAGGCTTAGAAGATCAGCTTTCGATCAAAACTTGAGAGAGCCACCTATATGACTGTATACGCAGATATACATACATCTATACGTATACACAAATACATGTGTATATACATAGAGCATATTCTACACCTGCTGATGAAGGAACCGTGTCTAATTTCATCACAGCAGCGCTGCTTGGGCAATAGTTATTTCTGCACTGCCGGCTGTGACAAGGGCACTTACCCAAAGACGCTGCAAGCGAGATCAGCAGCGCATTCGCCTGAGCAAGTTTACACGAGCCCGCACTCGATTTTGAAAATGACTCAGCAAGTCCATGCGACATGACGAGGAAGGTCAGCTTAGCTTGAAACACTACTTTGATCCAACGGAGAGGGAGCCAACTACATCCAGGGCCCTCGTAGTTCTCAGACAGTGCTGTTGGCCAGGAGCGAATCTGAATGGCAAAGCTTTTGAGATGCTGCCACCCGGCCATGAAGCAGCTTGTGGATTCAGGGCTGGAGGGCTGGCATGCATTCCGTTTCAGTGCTTTCAATCTCCAGCTTGCTACATCTGCGAGTCTGCACCATGGGGTTTGTTGGTGTCATGTTTCCACTTGCAAGTCTTTGCTCTCCATAGAGTACATACCACTTGTTTGAAGCGAATCTGTTTTGAAGCACATGGTTCAGGTTGCCACCGGATGAGCGACAGCGCTTCGCCGACTTCATCACCGCGTCCACCAAAGCCGCCCTGGATCCGGCAGATGGTGCTCGTATGACTCCGCCCACTTGCCTTCGGGTTTCTTTGTGTGGTGCTTCCAACACGCGTGTGCCAGCGGACATCTTTCACGTCCCGGTGCCACATCTCTTTGGTGCTGACCATCCATACCACCTGCTGGCAATAAGTGAAGACTCCGAGTCCCGAAATCCGCCTGCTCTTGCAAAGGACATCCCAGACATGGCAAGGATAAGAGAACGATCGGAGAGGTTAAAGTCCAGAACGGCGTCTTCTTCGGGAAGTTCGGCTTCTGGAAGCTCCGTCTGGGAGCCGCTACCAGAGCTAGCCGGGATGATGTTGCTGGTGGACGGTTCGAGCCCTTTTCTGGACATCGAGCAAGCCCATCTCAGCTTTGAGCGTCGGGTTGGCGATGAGGAACTTGAGTCCAGTATGCCCTGTCTCCGGAAAGTTTGTCGGCCAACAGACTGGGAGTCCATCAGGAAGAAGATCGACAGATTCGTCGCATCCGGTGAGGATTCTGCTCAAGAATTGAGGAGCATCTGCCTGAGAATGCCGGATGACCCCCGGAGATTTCTCAAGGCCAGATGCGTGCAGATGTCTGCTTTCGAATCGCCGCATGCAGAGGGCTCGCAGGAGCAGAGCGACAGCGTGCCAATTAAGATTTGCCTCCAGCTCAGCCATTTCGTTCAAGACGAATCTCGACAACGGCAGCAATCCGAACTTGCCGGCATCCGCGAGTTGCATGGAAGGAGGCCAGTGTCCGACATGGGATCCGAAAGCTTTACCTCCGCGACTTTCGAAGCGACAAGGCAGCAGTCCGGTCTCGACCCAAACACTTTGTGAGTTTATTGTAGCTTGGGGACAAGAAATATTCTGGCTCTGCTCAGAACTTTCGCGCAACGTGGCATCGACAGTTGTCACCTGTGCTGTGATGTTTGCAGAATCAAGCTGCAATGCCTGGGTGTGAACCCTGCCATGGTTTCAAACATTTGGCAGTGCACGTGTTCCTAAGCTGTACTACCACATGATGTGGGTGGAATGCCTTGGAGAGTACAGAAAAGAATATACTCACCCATGCGGAAAGCTACAAGGCCGACACCCAGCTGCCAACAATCACATTGCGCAGAGCGCGGTGGTTGTTCGGGGCAGACCCAATTATTCTCGCGGGCAAGCTGTAAGGAGTCGCTCTTGAGTTGAGACCAGCTGTATCCTTTTGTGGGGTGCAGCAGAATAACGGTGCATCGGACCTAGTAGCACCCAGTTTCGTCCCACATTCCGCGACGAAAAGTGTTTGCCTTTACTTGCCACTCTTTCCAGCACCTTCTATCTAATCTCTGTTGCCGCATCACATGCGCAACTTTCTACAAACATTCGCAGGTCAAACTGTCGTCTGAGCAGGGGCATTTATACAAACACACGTGCCGATTCAATGATCGCATGTTAACACGACAGCCACTTTATTGTTGCTGCACTTGTAACCTCCCAACTAGCAAGCCTGTGTTGACCAAAAGGGCGATCAGATCAAGATCGAGTCTTGAGAAGCAAATTGTTGTGATAGCCTGCCTATATTTGTAGAAAACCTGAAGGCAGAAGAAATTGCCAGGCCCGTCTCAGCAACTGCTGCCCCAACATGCTCACCCCCCTCACATCCCCTGCCCAAGCCTCGAAACCCGCCATGGTTGCATCATCGCAGGACTCGACAAACGCAGCCAACGTCGTCGTTTCATAATCATCTTGGCCCGTAGCTTCTCACCGGCAGGCTTGCAACAGCCCTTCAACCCTTGAATTAGGAACCCTTCGACCCTAGATCGGAGAAAGCCTTCACACGAAGCGTCCCTAAACCCTACTAATAGAGGAGCCTGAAGAATTACCTATACTATTTTGATGGTTCCTTATTTCGATTATAGTATAATGTACCCCCCAAACCCTATTCTAATTATTAAGGCCCCCACCAGGACCCCCCAATGGCCCTTTAATAGAGCCCTTATGGTCCCTAATAGTAGGTTTTTGGGGTATAATAGAGGGTAGTTGGGGGGTCTAGGTACATTAAACATTACAGGCCTACTTCGAGACGGAGGCTGAAGCCCCAGACTCCCCGGAGCCGCGACTCTTCGTCATCCACGGCACCGGCGAGGTCTGTGGACAGACGCCTTCTGAGCTTCAGTGTTTCTGGGTTTCTGAAGTTTTGGGTTTGGGGCTTACGGCTTCAAGGGTTCAGGGCTTTCAGGGTCTTTGGCACAGTCTTATGGAGCTTGCAAGGTTCTGCACTTCGGATTTTGCAGATCAGCATATTGGCAGGGCTGCAGGCAGGAAGCATCCAGGTCTTCAGTTCAGAGATATGTGCCGGTGCTTAGCTATGGACCTTATCCTGCGTTGGTTGGGCGTTGCTTGCTGATTAGTGCCAGTTAGGCTCGGAGTTGTGGTGTTTGTCTGAGTGCAAATGTGTATGCATGTCGGCATACTTGCACGCATGCATGCATGCATGCATGGATGGACGGATGGATTCCGGTGTTTACGTAATGGCACGTCTGTAATCACAGGTGTCCGCCATACATGTGACATAGGCGAATCCAGATCTTTGCAAGCCAGACGTAATCCCCTCCCTTCTATTGAACACTCCCTAATAATAAAAACACGTTGGGGCGAATCCTCTCGAAATCATCCCTGCCCTTTGAAACCTATTCTGAATCAGCGGGAGGGTTTCAAGGCTCCAAATACCCTTATGAGCACGGGAACAGCAGGAGTTAGAGCGAGAGCAGGAGCAAGAGCATCAGCAAGAGCATCAGCAAGAGCAGCAGCAAGAGCAGCAGCAAGAGCAAAGCAAATGCAAGAGTGGGAGCAAGAGCAAGAGCAGGAGCAAAGGCGACAGCAACAGCACGAGCAGGAGCAGGCGCAAGAGACGCAGCAGAGGCAGGAGCAAAAGCGGCGGGAGCAAGAGCCAAAGCAGGACCAAGAGCACGATCCCTCAAAAGTGGCAGTAGCGATGAAAATACCCCCTAATAACAAAAACACTTTCCGAGTTCTTATTGGGGAGGGGGGGGAGGCCCCCCCCTTTTCATGTTAGGGCGAAACGATTATGCATGTAGAACACTATAATAAGACAATCTTTCTACGACAAGTATATACATATATATATATATATATATATATATATTATATGTATATATATATATATATATATGTATATATACTGTATTATTGCACTACTAACAAGGTGACTACCTATGGGCCTATCTCTCTGATGCAGGCCGAAGAGTTGCTGAGCTCGGGGCATGCTGCAAAGATCCTCCAGGCGTCCGGAAGCGTTAACTTGCGTAATGTAGGGGCCTTAATGTAATGCAGGGGCCTTAATAATTACCTATACTAGTTTGGGGGGCTCCTTAGAATAATTCTAGTATAATGAGCCCCAAAACCCTATTCTAATTATTAAGGCCCCTATGTTATGAATTATAGGGCTTCGCATTCTGGTTTAGGGTCACGTTCTTGGCATTATAGGTTTCAGGGGTAAGTTTTAGCAAGCGTGGAGGGCAGAAATGGTGACATTTCTGGCCAAGGCAGCACACGATGATGCGACCGCGCTGGTCGTAGGCACGGGAGCTCAGCGAAGCATCTAACGCATTCCTCACCAGTGTGCCACTGCTGAGGAATTCAGTGTGTGGTTTGCTGTCTCGCGGGGGTTCGCCTCAGAGAAGTCAGAGGACCTGAGCCTCTTTCCGAACGCTTGCAGAACTTCAAGTGCATGGCCCTCAGATGCATTACGCATGGTCCGGCGCATCGCTTGGGCGATCTGGTGTAGACGAGATGAGCATGTTAAGCTGTACTATTCTTGGACCATATGTTCTACTATGTTCTGCTTTTCAATACTCTATGCCTCGGATTACCCTCCTCTTGCCTAAGTCGGTGTTTTCCACCCGATCCTTGCGGGAAACCTTCACGAATTGAGGCCTTTGGGGTCTGCTAAGTTAAAAAACCCATGATTATTCTGGAAAACAGGAGAAGAGGGTTTTGGGAAGTGGGCTTGAAGTTGCAAGGAGTTGATGGATTGGTTATCGGTTGGTTTTTTATGCAAGAACCCTAAACCCTAAAGCGCATCTCTTTGCATTTCTAGAAGAGCATGTCCTTACCGAAGGTAATGCTTTCTGAAGAAGAGCTCCGACAAACGGGATATGGAGTTTTTCGAAAATAGGCGACCCTAACATAGTACCCTAAATAGTAGGATCCTCACTATAAGGATCCCAACAGAAGGTACCCTAAGTCTCGGAAACTACCATATCGGTTGCTCCTTGATGAAGATTGTCTTAGCAGCTTAGCAGCCTTTGGACTTCCAGCTGAGGCCACACCATCTTCAAGACCCGTTTGCCTGATGCGCTATCCGTCTCGTGCTTAAGTCGATGTCAATGTAGCACCAGGTTCCTGCATGGATAAACGGATGTTGCAGTCTTTGCCAGTGATGCGCAAAGGTAACTCGGAATGGTTACTTACTGATTTGCTCAAGCGGTCCCTTTGCTGGGGGCAGTCGCAGCATGGCCGTACGTGAAAAGGCCTGCTCCATGCCCAGCACGGTCTCAGTGGCTCCTCAGTCGTCCCGTATCTACACTGTCTACACGTCGCCCAGGTGCCGCAGATGGGATCTCTCGCCCTTCCAGACAGCTGGAACCTGAGTGAACACTTGAGAACGGCGGCGGGGTCAGTGGGGACTTCTCCACCCTTGCGGCTGGTCGAGAACTCACGACTGGCTGCAGGCATGGCACATCCAGCGTTATATTGCAGGCACAGCTCTGAACCATCCCCATGGGCGCTGACTACGTCCTTGTGTTGTGGGTAGTTGAAGGGGATTGCCATAAGGCCTTGAAGGGCGTCTGCGAAAAGTGTGAGTAGTTCTTCTATCTGGCAAGACACTGTGCAGCAGTAAGCGCACCAGGGCTTGCAAGAGCAAGCATGTGTAATCTCGCAGCTAGAGGAAGCACGGATTCAGACCACTTCAGGCCTGGACGGCGGTGGGAGCATTTGTTCTGATGCCGCCTCAGCCTGCAAGAGTTGAACAGTGGAGCCTTAACGGACTTTATGAACGGAGTTATCCTTCAAGGGGTCTCGCTTTTCCTTGGGAGCGGTCAGGACGTCAGCTGCTTCTGAGGTGATTTCTCAGGCTTCGCAGCAGGCCTCCCAACAGGTGCAGAGGGAGGGTGCATGAAGTTGGTTGAGGTGGGGCTGAAACAGCCGTGGACCTCGCTAGCTGCAGCTACTGCGACCGAGTTGATGTGATATTGCCCATGCAGAAGCACCAGCTCGGCATGCAATTGTTTGAATCACCTCGGCCATGGGTGGCACTGATCAACGACGTTGGTGAGAAGACGCATCAAATGCTTGTTCGAGAGGCTTCACAACAGGCAGAGACAACTCAAGCTGGGGCCATCACCGAGTCGCTTGGCTCGACAGACTGTGATTAAGCATGCATTGGCGTCGCGATGCAAGATATCACCACGGCTGACATCAGATGGGCCCTTCACACAACCACACTTTTTGTCCTGCAATCAGGGAAAGCTGTTGAGGGTTAGAGGCTGTGGGTCTTACCCCACGAGGACCCCAAAACTGGTGTCCGTTCCTTCGAGGTTCCGACAGCTCGTCGAGTACCCTCCGATCTCAGAGGAGGCGGATGGTGCACTTCGGTACATGTCATCGTGAAGTGTTTATAGCTCGTTCGAGAATTGTAGTTCAGCGCTCGGGCGAAGCAAGACTGCCGGTTGCCTGCGCGGGTGCCACCGGGTTTTGTTGGAGCAATCGCCGAGTCGAAGATGTCAAATCTCCAGTCTCCGCTCCCCCTGCGCTCGTGAATCCGGTAGGATCAGATCAAGCTGAAGGGCACGCTGAAGCAGCCGCCTGGCGACAATGTGTTGAGAGTTGGATCCTGAAATTCGCCAGCAGGTGAGCGAGACGCCCGCGGTAGTGGCCCCTGCCCGATTGCGGCAGGTACCGTGAGTGGGAGGCAGCCGAGCTGAAGAAGATGCGGAATGCGGTCGGCAGCCCCAAGCCTTGCAACGAGCAGAGAGAGCTGGACTTAAGCCCCAACACCCTACAAACCCAAATAGTAGCCCTTATAGTATCCTCTTTAAGGCACCCCCTATTCTAGCTATATTACCCCATGTTAGCTCCCAGCCAGCGGCAGGGCAAGAAGGAAGATCCAAAAGCCAAGGCCAAGAAGGCGACGCCGGGAGCTCGAGTTATGACTGCAAGGTCGAGTGATGTGGGGGCAGTGTAGGGCCTGAAGAAGTACACAGTAGCAATATTCCGTAGGGCCATGTAGGGCCCCTTGATGCAACCCTACCATCATATACCCCAAATCCATATTCCAAGCCTCAAGGCCTCTAAACTACACAGCAGAGAGAAGCTTCAGTTACGATATCTTGGCGCGAGAAGCCGTGGACGTCCGACGATCCGATGATTCCCTGACGAGGACAAAGCGAAGGAAAAGACAAAAGAGAAAGGCCGGGCTGACCTCAGCTCCTGCATAGTCTTGCAGTGTGTGTTATAGTGTTGAGCCAGTATGGTCTGAGTTTATGTTTACTGTTGTAATATTATATACAACTTTGTTGACATGCAGAATTGAGGATATTTTCTCTGATAGTTCTGCATACTAGAGTTTGCAGGATAAGCTGTCCTGTAGTATCAAAGTGAAACGGTGTAAATGGTTTTGCCAGCGGCTTCTCCGCTTGAATATGACCAAGAGGGCTCACCCCACTGTCCGCTGACCCCTCTTCAGCACGCGAAGGCCATGAGTGAAGCGCGCAATATAGAATGCTCGATCCTACAAAGCGGTACTCTTCAATGCCAGTCTGTGGAGTGTGGCAGGAAAGAAAGGAAAGAAGGGAAAGAAAGAGGAGGACTACTTTTATTCTTATTTATCCTAACATTGAGTTCAAAGTGCTGGGCACGGATTTGGGTAATCATAGGAATGTAAGCTGTGACCAGGCAAAACGTTCTGACCAGTTCACGCCGTGCCGTTCGCCAAGACTTCGTTGATGCTGCAGACCCGAATCACGTCAACTACTCTTGAAACTCCTGAGGGCCATGAGACATCAGGGAGTTGATCTTACTTTAGCCCCCAGTCGCCGTCAAGGAATAGAAATGCTGGGCACGGAAGACCGTCCCTAAACCAAAAGCGCCAAAGTTTGCTATTGATCATTGCTTAGCCACATCTACAGAAATCGACCCCTGCAGGTATCAGATTAGAGCTGATATCCTTATGCCAGGAGGTGGTCGTAGAGGCCAAGGAGATCCCTCCTGACCCTGCCTTTGCACAGGCCCTTTCGTGACTCAGACTTGGGATTTCGTCTTGGGGAGCTTGTGGATGCTGCTGCTTCAATGAACTTCCGATGTCCCATGCTGCAGCCTTCGAGAACCTTCTTGCCTCTGCAGGTATCATGCCATGGGAGTTTGAGATGTGGAAGCTGTTCGGTCATCACGCCTGACAGGGGCTCAAGCTCAACGCCTTCGACCACTGTGTGAAGGTGCGTGGGGACAGGGGGGTCGGAGGCACATCGTGGCTCTATAGCATCAGGCCTGGTGTTCAGAGGTGTTAGATCGAATCTCCGTGCTCAGCCCTGCAGGCTTCTTTAAGGTCATAGTGAGTTTGCATTTAATTTATAGACATGACAAGCATATACGAGTAGATATTGTATATGTTATAGACACATCAATATGCATGTTTGGATGTAAGGTATATACCTACCTATATATATATATATAGAGAGAGATATGTATGCATTTTGTATATACATATGTATAACATTGCTGTGATAATGCACGCCTGTCGAGCCAAGTCGTGAATGGAGCACCCCGGACCAGGCCCTGCAGGGCCGCCTTGCGGAGCAGCCGGCGCCGGTTGCTGCAGAGCTGCTGAGCGGGGCTCCCAGCCTCGCTGGGCAGAGAGTAGGGGTTTATAGGGCGTGTGGGGAGTAGATGAGTAGAATATGTGTATATAGGGGTCACAAGGCTTATAGGGAATATAAGGTCTTATGGGGATTAGACGGGCGATACTTATAGGGTTTAGGGTTTAGGTGAGCAACTCCGGGCTTTAGTTTTTTTGTGTGTAACGGTCTGCTGAACAAGGGAGACGACGGCTCGCTTTGGCGACGGAGCTCCAGTAGCCGGCAGCAGCATCCTCTGCTGTCCGTACGCATGCAAAGGCCAAAGCTGAGGGAATCATCCTCTTCACCTTTGCAACCACTGGGCTAATCACACAAAACGTCAGTTCTGGTTCTCTCAAACGAGGAAGGTCGCATAGCGTCACCCTGGGAGCACCAATTGATGCAGTGTCGAGGTCGGGCTCTTGCTGTGGTTGCGGTCGCAGAGAGGGAGGCGCGAAGCTTCGCAAGACACTCACGTGGAGTCGAGCTGTGCTCGGCACCTACCTGAGTCAAATTTCAACTGAGGGTTTAGGGTTTTGGGAGAATGAGAAAACCATCTTGATAAAGGCTTTGGAGACCCACATCGCAATAGAAGAAGATATCTCTAGAGACTCGACGTGCTCGAAACCCGAATTGTGGCTCTGGTTCCGTTTCGGTCCATGCGGCTCCCCAAGGTCCCTGAGGCACCCCAAAGTCCCTGAGATGCTCTACGATTGAGGCCAACACTCGAGTCCAGATTCCCCGGTGAGTCAAAGCCGAATTGATTAGAGTTTTGGGGTTTAGGGCTTCGGGACTGTAAGGTTTCAGGGTCTAGGGTTCTCGGGGATTGGGAAGGTTTCGGGGTTTAGGGACTATGGGAGGTTACTGTGTAGGCTTGTACTTTCGACTGTATATGGCCCTTCTGTAAGCGTTAGGCGAACCACCCAGATACTTGAGCAAGTTTGGTAGCAGTATGTACTTCCATCACAGTACCAACTATACACTAACCTCATTATATCGATACAGAAGCTCGTGCAAGTAAGAAGGGCATACCAGCAATAGCAACAGACCATGTATCCTTAACTCTTTTTATGTATCCAAAATAACGGCAGGAGCAAGAATTGTGGTAATAACTTGTGCAGCTAAGAGACTCGTATCAGTCCTTCGTAGCCCAAAAGCGAGAGCCGGTGGCCAGGGAGCGGACCTCGAGGCAGAGTCCATGCAGGTGGCGAAGGCCAGAAATCGAAGATTCGGTGCTCTCCTTCGGGTCACTACTTGGAGGATCATGGGACATAGTAACTAGGGTTATAAATAAGGTAACTATAATTATAACCCCAATTAGGGTACTTATAACCTTACTTACTAAGTCCCATGATCCTCCAAGTAGATTTTCTGGTGTAGACTTAGGGTAACATAGCCGTAAGTAATTGTCCGGTCCTTCTGATCAGGATCCTGCCGCTTCGGGCTGCTAGGGTCATCGTCGTCGTCGTCGTATGAATCTAGAGCTTCGGACCCAGCGTTTAGGCTTGGGCATGGCATTCGGCGTGTAGGGCTTAGGCCTTGTGCGAGAAGTGTTTTGAGAAATAGCTCTGGGATTCAGCGTACGCTGTTGCACCTCGGCGTACAGGTTCGGTCGTGTCGTCGAGTGTTTTGGGGTTCCTTTGCTGGGTGCTGTCTTGTAAAGGAACGGTTTTTGTAGGGGGGTTACAGGACTTCAGCTTGTCCGGGAGTTGTGTACGAAAGAAGACCACGCCTTCCGTTATTGGGCTCGGCCTTTCCTGGGTCCAAAGTTTCGCCAAGGGCCCTCCTCGCCTAGAAGCTTTACATAGCAGCTGACGCAGTGTCAGCTACACACCTCTACTTATCAATACTAGCACAGCACTGAGAAGTCTGATCGCCGAGATCAGAACACTTAGAAGACTTTCAACTTCAAGGTTTGGCAGGGGACAGAAGGCTTGACCACGATAATGACAAGAGGCCTTCGGAGAATTTAACCCTACGTACTGCTTTGAATAGTACGGGTCATGTGAATACTGGTCCCTCTGAGCTTTCTGCCGGATCCTCTCCAGGGGGCGCCAGAGGAGGCAGAGGAGGAAGCTCTTGATCCCGTCCTGCGAGTTCGTGTTGAGCCTGGGAAGCTTTTTGGGTTGCAGCACCGTTGGGTCTCGGTGGAAGGCCCCTGGAAGGTCTCTAAACACGGAAATGTGTCCATTGTTGGCCCTCTTTTTGCTTCACCTTTTATGGAGCCGTGATAAAACCTCAGACCACACTTGACAATGGGTTCTACCACTGTGTTTGTTTTTGCCGGCCCTCTTGGTCCTGTTCTTATCGCCCAGGCTCCTGCTGGCTGTGTTGAATGAAGCTTACTTCTTCGTTGCTCTGTCAGGAGGCACAGCCCCCTGATGGCACGCGAAATGCGGAGGCGCCCGGCAAAGGATTCTAGTAAAGGCCCGAGAAAAGTTGTAAGAGGATTATACGATAACGAACAGCAAGGAAGGAACGATCCGGCTAGCGGGGAGGAGGAGTAGCAGAAGAGATAGAGTAGTAGTGGCAACAGCAGTAGTAGCCATGCTCGTGCTGGTGCTGCATCAGGAGCAGTAGGAGTTTTAGGAGTCGTTGTTGTTGTCGTCGTCGTCGTCGTAGT